TCATCACGTAATTTCAACACTAGCGTGGACAAAGATGATGAGACATTTGATATCAAGCTGGGTGAACTTCGGGTAAGCACTTTACCTTTATTTCCATGATTTTTGATTTTCTGGACATGTCTGGATCAGAAGTGTCAGAAAACATTCAGTACATATTTTTCCGGTCTTTCTGGGTACTGTTTGAACTTGCAATTTTAGGTGTACTACTGTCGATGTTAGGGACGTGCCAGGTTTCAGGTGTAATGTAGAATTAGGTGACCAGCATTCCTTTCACATACAGTGCATACTCTAGTACCATTGCGCGAAATCTTAGTTTAGGTGCCTAGGTTCTCTACCGAAATCACCGAAATTTAAGGCTGTGTTCGTTTTTAGCTACCTGGTGGAGTAGAGTAGAGTCATTCTACCGATAGAGGCAGGTTAAAGGTAAGTGCACGGATGCTGTAGTAGTTTTTCGCGTTATGGACATGAAATATTTCTCCTCTGCATGGAGTTGTGTACAACTCCTTCATCTTGCTGGCAATCCTGTACCCACACCTCTACCAGCTTCAAGCCTGGTTGAGGTAAAATTAGGCGTTTCACGGTATCCTGTACATTTGTGTGAAGATTGCCATGTAACTGTACTCCTGTGCCTGCACATTTGTGACGTTCTGCTCCCATGCACTCAGCTTGCGGAGGCGCGCTGGGCGCGTTCAGAGTTCCACGAGGCGCCGTTCGCTCTGCGCTGTGGCGGTGTCCAGTGGCAACTCTGCCCGTCGGTGGTGCTGAAAGCACCGGCGACTCCCTCGGGCATGCTGATCTCCGTGCTGGGCTGCACGCCCTCGTATCTGGACATGACACTGCTCTGGGACCACGGCACGCCGCAGCACATTGCCCATTTCGATATCTACGTGTACGGCCTGGAAATCCATCGCCTGTGCATAGAACCTGAGCAGCAGAAACAGCAACAACAGCAGAATAAGCCGAAGAGCGGCGGTACGGAGTCTAAACCAGCCGTGTCTCTACCGGATGTCCATGAAGACGCTCCACTCAGCACTTCGTCATCCGCATCGGTGTCAGCATCTGTCGACGGTAGCTCTGCATCGGCTGCAGCCCTGGGTACTTTGGGTTCGTTCATGCCCGCACCACCATCCGTACACCGGCGCCCGGTCAGCAAACCGGAGTACCTCGGCCGTGCGTACGGTCTGTCCTATCACATTTCGAGAATGCCACTGGTGTGCAGGAGCAGCGGGCCATCGCCGGAGCTGTTCAAGAAGACAACATCGCTCTCGTCAGTGACGACGTCATCGCAGGCGGCAGGATCGACACCCAGCCCTCTGCTGAGTCGCCGCCCGTCTCACTCCACTCCCACCACGCCGGCCATTGAACAACCAGCCGGCAGTGGCTCTTCACCGCCGCAGCATATCTGGTTAGCCGTGCAGGCCGTGTCCCGCGCTGGCTTCCGCTTGCCACTGGACAGGAGCCCATGTGTGTGCTTCTCCTGGTCGTAAGATGTACATATATGACCATCGAGAGACGAGTACTGCAGAATGCCGGCGATGGGTAAGCACCGGTCGAATGTTTGGTTCTTTTTCGAAACTGGTGTTGTAGTTGAATGCTTGACTACCATGGCATGCGGTGTGTGTTTATACACCTACTGTCGTGGACATGGAAATCCGATCGGATGACCGCGGCCAGGGCCCTTTTTCTTTTTTTTCTTTTTTAGCGCGTTCATTCACTGTCTACAATCGTCATGCGCTGTAGTTCACGTTCACACTGTAAAAATGGACCAGCAGTGCTCGCCGCTGCAAGGCCTACGCCCCGTGGCTGCTCGACTTCTCAACTGAGTTCAATGTCCGCTACAGTACATGCCTGCGCGTCTCTGCTCAGGTTTATATATAGAACATGGCTTCGGCCGCCGCCGCTGCGATGCTGCTTCATTTGGTAAGCGCCCCCTGACTGTGCTTACTACAGTGTGGCTCGACGTTGATCTGGGCTACGCATTGCTGCACGTTGACCGCACTCGGCATTTCGTGGAGCATTTCTTTCATCGACTATTATGAAAAATCGCTCTGGACGCTATCCTAATGATGCCAGAAGTCGGGAAGGTACCACCTTCTTCCGTATCTTGGCATTGTGTCACTTCTCTTTGGCTCTTTGCCATCTCAGTCTGTTCCCGAAAGGACAGTGAGAGTAGACTTGTGAACCACCTGGATATCCCCTATTGCTGCTGGTCATGCTATCTGCATTGTACATTGTGCATCTACTGCATAGCCCTGTATTTCTTCTCTGGCCACTAGCCTCGCTGCCATCTGGTCTTGCTCACTAGCGCCTGTTCTGTGCATGCATGTAGGTGGCCTTTCGAATTGAATAGCAACTGGAGGCAGAGCCCTTCTAGCTGCTACTCTACAAATTCTGATTGATTTTATGTTCCGGCTTTGATTAGTGCCCGTCTAGGTTAGTGCTGGCCGGATGTTTCGCTGTTTTTCTTTGTCAACTGCTGAGCGGTATGACGACTCTCTTTTTTCAAAGCAATCATGTCAATCATGTATATTTTTCAGAATTTTTTTCTTCATCTCACCGCCGTGCGTAGCGTGAGCACATGCACATCAAAAACGCATCTACAAATTCACTACAACACTTAGGGGTCATCGCAAAAGTTTTTTTGTCGTCCCTGAAACGAACATGATTCATTTGGGGGTGGGGGAGGGTGCGACCCAAAATCGCAAGTCGACCGACACTGTACATATGACATGTACATGCATGCGATAGTAAGCTGTGTTCGTTTCAGAGGGAGGGGAGGGTCCAAGTACGAAATGAACGATGTTCTTTTACCCCACCTGTGCTTGGAAGTTCATGGAGAATACTTCAGTACAATCATACTAGTTAACACCTGTACATTTGGATATGTTGCACCTGCTGAAAATGTCTTGGTTCATGATCGCGAGGCATTCCCATCGCTATGGAGACAGGTTGCTTCTCAAGATAACCAACCACAAATAAATTTGACCGAGTCAAATACAGTCATGCACAGCAGAAGCAGCCATGAGTACTGTACCGGGTCAGTATGATTGTAGTCTTGCTATTACCAGTGGCGTGTCCAGGATTAGGCTGGGGGGGGGGGGGTTGCGGCCGGGATGGGGTGGGGGTAGATGACATCATGCTACTGTCCCAGGTCAGCCATTTTGAAAACCGCTGTCAAGGAGCTATAATAAAATAATGTAGTAGTGCAAAGTGCGCACTGGCACGTGATTGTACATGTAGCTGCTAGTTACCGTATGTTTTGTGGACTCACAGGCTTTGCCCGAGAGCTGTGATGAAGGAAGAAAAGTGCGTGCATGTGTGCATCATTGTGGTTGATATTCGGTGCACACTGACTGAGTCTAGCTTTCTTTTAAAAGCCTTGAAAAATGGTAAAGACACCCAAGGACGATGTATTCGATAATCATTGTGCCACACTGACAGTTAGGGTGCTAAAAGCTAATCACTCCAAGCCGCCACTATATGTTTGTCAGAGCTAGAGCAAAAAGGACGCTGAGGAGATCACTTACATGTCATGTACATTGTATATTTTAACTTAATAAATCCTTGAATCATTGGTACTACTTTCCTGCCATATAGTAAAGTGATATACTAGTACTTTGAAGTACATTTTATGAAGGCTGCAGATTTTGCCATTACTGGCATTAGAGGCTGCTAATCGCTCCAACTCCAAGCTGCCACTACCGTGCACTAGGCACTAGGCTGGTCTGAACTAGAGCAAAAGGACGCGGAGGTGTTACTTATGTTACTTTCCTGTCATTCATGAAGCCATTGAAGGCTGTGATAAAGCAGGCATGGCCAGGCAGACTTTGTCATTTTACATCGGCCCATGGCATTGAAGCACGTCCCAGTTGATCGCTCTATGTCCACCTGCATGCCCGTGGATCCTTTGCTTAGGCTAGCTATGGTCCTAGGCCTAGATGTTCATGGTAACTAATAACTGGTAACTCTCCCATTTCATAACACAACAGGCGTAGAGTACTGTACCCAGCCAGATTATGTAGTATTGTAGTATTCGGGAGTAACTCTTCGTGATGGCGTTACATGAATTGATGTATGGTAAATCCGGGTGGCTGATTGTATTCGACGACCTCACCCAAAGACTGTAGGTACATGTAAAAGCAGAGGACAATGGGTACTCGTAATAATCGCAGGCGAAGTACAAGTACATAGTGTGACATTCACAAACAACAGGGCGAAAGGCCTTGTACAAGTAGCTGTAACCAAGACTAGCAAGAGTCCATAAACATGTTTAATTATTTAATAATATTATTATTGTTTATGTGACATCAGTGATCGCGGACTAGCCGTGCAGCAGGACATAATAAAATTAATTTTAAAACCTTTTTTTACATTGTATCCAATACACCACACCACCACATTGCGCTCTTGGTGGATCGAGGAGCGAAACAGCTGTCTGGAGGGTCATTGTCAATATCAATCTACAGGGTATATACCGGAATTGTCCTCGCTGTGGTGATGGTGATGTGAATGCAGAGTTTGGATCGGCCAAGAGCGGAGTGTATTGGATTCCATAATGGCCGGGTCGTCGCTACTTCTTCTCAATGTCATTGTATTATTATACATCAAAGTAGCACTATAGTTTATGCAAGGCCAAGTAAGTTGGTGGTTGTGGCAAAACGTTCCCATTCATATCAAACGATGGGCCGATGCTGATGGGTGCAGGTGTCCATCTCTAGCATTGGTTTAATATCATTATACAAGTTAGTTTTCGTTTCTCCGGCGTTGTCCCGGTCTGCCAGGCGTTCTTCCATCCGCAGTTCCAGTTGCTTTGTGAGCTGGTCAAACTGTCTTTCCTGATTCATCTATTCAGCATCGGTGACATGGTTCTCTCAGCAACACTCAGCAATCACTTTAGTCGTTACTGCTCCTGCTGTTCCGGAAAGCACTGCGTGTACACGTACAATCTGCATGTGTGGACGACACGTGCGCATGAAGGTCTGAATATTTGACACCACCGTTTCAAAACACAGTGACACTATCCGATAATCTAATGGATTTCAGTTCCGGCCACTTCCTTCTATGAATAGCACGCGCTAGCATGATCTCAACGTTAATATTAGCTACTCGTGGCCAAGGTCCCATCCATTGCGGGTATGCACTCATTTATACGCAACAACAACAGTTGAGAGCTACAGTGCCCATTGGAATAGCACACTGAAATTAATCTCGTAGAGTCGAGACACGAGACTGTTTGGTTCACTGCTTGCGTCCTATTCTCCTGAATGTATAATAGTATGAGTGTAACGGATAGTTGTGGAGTTCTGCGAAGTGCTATGGATGTGCAATGCACATGTAAAATGTGATGGGGGTAACGTAGGAATGAGTCTTACTAGCCTTACATGTACATGTACATATATATCACACTCCTGGATATTTTGCAATACATGTACAAACAGTCAAATACGCCTGTTGTAAGTTTGCCACGGATACGGGCAGTACAGAGCATCATCGGCTGACTGACACTCCGTACTAGGCAATCGTTTCTGCTCCTCTCCACTCTCGTAATCCGTGTGATAGCCAGGCTGGAAACTCATTTTTGGGCATTTTGTACAGTATGACTTGGTGTTACTTCGAAGTACATGTAAATAAAAGGGCCTACGATACCCAATAGGCCTACCGTAGGAGGCGTGGTAACTGACAGCCGCTCGCGCTCTATTCGGTTCCTGCTCACGCTGACTTAGTCAAAGCGATCATTATACTTCAGTTAATTAACTTTATTAATTGGGTGATAAAATTATCCCAGGTGATAACTTAAAAAATGCCTCTCATGGTTCCGATCGCAAGCTCTGCCTCTGTGAACCCGCTCACCCAGTCATCCCCTTCGACAGTCAACAATTTAGGCTTTAATCATGGTTCATGACCTGGAAGCGCAGGGCTAGGGGTCCACAGCTACATTGTACACACATTTACATGACTGTACATAGTCATTGGACATGTAGAAACTTCCGAAGGCACATAATCATTGCACTACACGTCTGTTTCATGTGCAGGTGTGGCAAACCATAGCACAGTTTTCAAACTTAAAGGGGAAGTGCATCGATTTTTCAAGTAGGGCTCAGATGAAAGACAATTGGATATCGGTTCCGATGGTATATCTCTCGCTTGCGTACGGCAAGGGAAACTTGCCATATCGCCGATTTCCTGATCCCGTTTCCATGGCGACTACAGGTGATGACGCACATTCTGCTTAGCTCCGTGAGAGAGAAGGTCGATCACTGAAGAATTGTGTCATTTTCAGTTGTCTTCTTGTATTCACGAAGTGAAAGAAGTACTGTGTTCAAGGCTGTTAGTGCCGTGAACTGTTTATTAGTAGTCCTCTCCGTTGTGTACTGGGACGTGACACCGACAGGGGAAAGCTGGAGTGCGGAGACGTTAGCTGGCAAGCGAAAATCGTGACGAACCAAGCGCTGAAATCTTGGTTGGGACAAATCAAACGTTCAGTATTTACCTCAACCAAGGACTATGCCGTTTGCTCTTTCCACTTCCTGAAGATGGATGCGCTGCCTGCTGGAGACTCTCCTATCTCTCGTAACATCTTCTGAAGCCAGGTGAGACGACGAGTAGCGGAGATTAGCGAACGAAATAATGTCGTATGTTTTGAAATTTTTGCTGAACATATCTCAGGAGAGATGGCATGTATGAACTTAGTCCACGTGAACTCAATCAGCCCATGAACCGTAACCCATGAACAAATGCTTTCCTTGCAGACGTGCATGTGTCTATCCAATCTACACGTAGAGATCATTCCATGCCCTCAGTGAATGGCCTATTATTATTTGTCCATACACTTCATCTGCATGTTGTCTGTATGGAGAAGGGTATTGTTCATTTCAAATGAAGTTCGGGCAATAGATGCTTTCCTCTGGTACAATTATGTTGACCTGATGTTCTTTCTAGCTTCATGGGTAGCTTACGTGAGGTACCATCACCATCATGTTTACATGAGGGTCAAACACTGCACCGTTCTTTGTCGTGACATGACATAAGTTATTGTAAGTGCTCGCAGACTCCATACGTTCCAGCAACACCTAGCATGGTTTTCCGTGAACGTTGTGGGTGAACAAATTCCTGTCCAACATATTTATACAGACATGCCAGCACACAAAATGCACCATACACACACTTGCCCTGCCCTGTCGAGTCACTGCCACGTGGGCCCGGAGGGGCAGTGGAGAGAGAATGGGAGAACGCCGCCCCATGGCACCCGGGACACAAAAACAAGAGTTTGTCTACGTAGGGAGCAACACACATACATTATACATACACCACACACACACACACACACACACACACACACACACACACACACACACACACACACACACACACACACACACACAAAATGAGAGTTCGGGTCATCTGCCACGAGACTGACGTACGGCCGGGGAGAGCTTCAGCAGCGGTGTCTATTCCTGCCCTGGACCGAACGGAAGCAGCGGTCGCAGGACACACAGTATTCACCACAACACGGCTCCACTGTCGTTGGGGGCTGAGCCACACAATTGTGACGAGCA